CATGTAGTTTGTCTTCTCTATAAGAGGAAAATCATATGGTTGATCTTTTTTTTCTTTTTTTTATATGGTTGATCTAATTATATTTGTTTCCCTTTCTCTATTTACATTTCAGATTATGTTGAAGCCACAAGAAAGGATTATTGCAAAACCTGGTATGTCACTAATCATATTCTTTATAAAGGAAGCCTCTTGCTTATCTATTTGTGTATGTATATGATTTGCTCATAAGAAGTCTCACTTGTTTGTTTGAGTTAGCTGTATGCGGAACACAATGTAAAATCTCTTCATTTGATAGACATTAAAGAATGGAATCAGTTCGGTTAGCTATTTGTAAAATCTACAACTTGACCAACTAGTTGAGTGGATATTTCCTCGAGAGTGAATAAGTATGCGTGGAGAACTTAGAGGGTGTTTGGCTAAGCTTATAAGCTGGTCAAACTGGCTTATAAGCACTTTTTGGCTTATCTACGCGTTTGGTAAAATTAAAAGTGCTTATAAGTTAAGTGCTTATAAGCCAAAAATAAGCCAAAAGCCATAAGTTGGTCTCCCCCAACTTATCAAATTTCAGCTTATAAACACTTTAGGTTTGACCAAAATATTTACTATTCTATCCCTAAAATACTTCTTTTTAGAACAAAACTCTTCGTATACCCAGTTCTTCAGCTGCTTATTATTAATTTCAGCACTTTTATCCAAACACGTAATTGCTTATTTTTTAAATCAGCTTCAGCACTTAAAAGTGCTTTTCAGCACCTAATGCTTATCAGCTACTCTCAATCAGCTAAGCCAAACGGGCTCTTAAAACGTTCCCTTGCATGTTTCCACACCTTATGCAAGAAAGACGAGCCCCAGAAGCCTAACACAAATATTTGGTCAAGTCTGTGTGACATTAGAAATAGGCTTGCCTTGTAGAAGATTGTCGTTTTGAATCACCCACCCTAGAAGAATGATAAACTGTCTGTATATTTGAGTCAATAATCTTGCTTGCATCGACTCATGATAGTAATCAGGGCATCCCCACTAATGCTTGTTGTATTTACTGTTTCCTCTTCAATACTTAACGATACGCCAGGTGTGGATTGGAGGGGGGGGGGGGGGGGGAGGTTCCTGATGAACAAGGGATTCTTATTTCGTCAGCTGTATGTTAAGGGCCCTGTGTATACGGATAGCATTGTATCTTATCAGGTCATAGATTCACGCCCAAAGGATACTTTGTATGGCTTTAATCAAATATTCAAGAATGCCAAATTATATTTTGACATTTGCTATTTACTACTCACTCTTAACTGACTTACGGGGACGTTGAAATGCTTTGCAGGGTCCATGTGCTATATGTCTGGTTCCATCCAGATGGAAAATGTTTATGCCACTGAAAATGAAGCAGGTGTTTGGCAATGGCTTTTTGGAAAGACTATTACAAGCATAGTTCTTTACAATACAGGTACAACTGATGGATTTGTCGGAATAGCTGCTCCTTCTCTGGCAAGAATCCTTCCGGTTCGTTCACGTTCGAACTATATTTTCATCTTGTTTGGTTATACAATCTTCTTTAGTGAGTACACCCTTGTGCATGTGCACAATCTGGAAATTGGGGATACAAGTGCAGGATGATTAACCACCAATAACTATAATGTCTTATTTGTTCTTGCACCGGGGTATCTAGAAAGGTATTAGATGGAGAAAATTGCGAGAGACTCCACAGTTTAGTTACACATTGTTAGTACGGATGATTCTGTTTACATGTACTATTACTAAATAAATTGGTTTTTGTTGCTTCTGTTTCATTGTTCCCACACAGATTGATTTAGCGAAGTTTGGAGGTGAAATCTTATGCCAGGTAAAGATAATTCTTTATCTTAATATCCTTTTTAGTTCTTGCAAATAGGCCTCTTCCTTGTAAGTTCCCTCCTATTTGCTTTAAGTGTTTACCAGTTAAGTATGCTTTCTACCTTGACATATGACTTCAAGAATATTATTTTGTAGCCAGATGCATTTCTCTGCTCCATTAATGATGTCAAAGTCAATAATTCTATCGACCAAAGGCCACGTAACCTAGTTGCTAATGCAGAGGTGAGATGATAAAATTGTCTTGACTCTATATATGGCATGATTTTCAGCCTTGCTGACGGTAATTGCTACGAACAGGTTGAATCTTTGACTAATATGCTTGTAACATTTCCAGGGATTTTTAAGGCAGAAGATATCAGGCCAAGGGCTTGCATTTGTAGTCGGAGGTGGTTCTGGTATGATTTTGAATCTCATTTAACTAATAAACTTAGACTTCTGTGGAGAATATTAAAGATGACATGCCTAGAACAGATGGTGGCTATTCATTTAAGTTTTTTTTCCGTCTTACCATGCGTTTGTCTGAACTCTGAACCAGCACCCTATCATTTAAACCCAAACAAAATTGCTGGACCATTTTAATTTGAGTTGTAAGATTAGAGGTCTTAATTTTCACATCACAAGTTCTATTTTCTGATTCATTTCTTCGGGCAATATTTGTTTTTCTTCCTCAGTTGTACAGAAAAATCTCGAGGTGGGTGAAGTACTTGCTGTTGATGTGCCAAGCATTGTTGCAGTATCATCAACTGTCAATGTTCAAATAAAATACAATGGAGCCATGAGAAGGGTGGTATTTGGGGTATGTTTTCACATGTCTGCTTCGTTTGATTTCTCCTTTCATTCATCCTAACTGTTTATTGCTGAATAATATTCATCAATTAATGTATTTAAGAAATACCTCGGCTGGCAGCAATCATTTGGGTTTTCTTGTTTCATTCTTTGTCCTCCTCGTAACATCTTGTTGTTCAATGATTAAAAAAAACCTATTTGTTGTTCATAAGAGAAGTAGTGTTGAAAATCAGGGTTAAGTCCCTGCAAAGGTAAAAAAATAATTAGGTGATCTCTTCCTATATGTCTAGGAGTTGGTGGACGTAGCTACTTGGCACCTATCTGGTGAGAGGTAGCAAGTATCTCGTAGACTAGTTAAGATGCGTGCAACCTGTCCCAGACATCACTGTTATCACCCTTAAAAGGAATTTGAAAAGGCCAGTTATCATCCACCAAAAGCAACATTTGAACCCATAAACTCTACTTGGTATTAATTTTAGCTGAGCTTTCTTTACTGCAGGACTGATCTCTCCTCGTTACCCTCTTCTAGGAAGGGCATTTACTTTCATTTATCTTTAAAAGTTAACAAAGAAAGAAAAGAATAAACAAAAAAGTGTAGTTTCTTCTGAAAATGTTTATTTTTGTGTTTCAGTTAGTATGTAAAGTATGAAACTCATCGATTCCCATCCTTTTGTTTGATATTATCTCTTTCTAGTACATGTAGTGATACAATGAAATGAGTATACCAACAAGACCAAGTGAGACCAAAGAAAAAATAGAGTAGATTATTTTCCAAATTAAGATATTCTGGTCATAATCTGTTCGAACTTGAGGGTTTCAGGGCTTTTCTTAAGCCAGTTTCTGGTACTTCCTTCCATTAGCATATCTGATATTGCAACGTTTAATTAAGCTGGTTACTTCAATATTACCTGAGCTCCTCGCTAATGATTGAAGTAATCTGACTTGTGACTCTTGATTTTCTATGAAAATGTATGTTTAGCCTTCTGCTTTGCGGAACTAATCTGACTCGAGTCTGCTGTTGTCATCTCATGATTTGGTTCCTGAGGCAGATATTCCTAACTATATTTGTACAATTGCAGAATGATAATATCGTAACAGCTGTTCTAACGGGGCCTGGTATTGTATTTATTCAAAGCATGCCTTTTCATCGGCTTTCACAACGCATTGCTAGGTATTTCTCCTAGACGATGAAACCATTTGAACTTGTTAAATTACTGTGCTACTCTCTATCAACCAAATTGCTGCACTTCTGGTTGAAAATTGACAATGTTTCTGTTTCACTGTTGCAGGGCGGTAACATCTCCAAACATGAGGGACAATCCCAAATTCTTCATTCAGATAGCAATTTTCTTCTTTCTAGCTTATGTTGTTGTTGTGTCATCATTGATCTTGACAGATATTTGAACTTTTCACTTTCCATTTTCACAAAATTCTGTAGATTGTTCGTTGCGACCTCTAGTCTTTTTTTGGGGATTGACAGGCATTTGAATGTTAATTACAGATATAGAGTAACAGTAAACAGGGCTATGACTTTCTCTTAATTGTGGCATAGTTTGGTATAGAAAACTGTAAAAGCAATGGAAAGTGCTCGCTTGTATAATGTATTTGAAACTTCCAATCATAGCTGGACGGTTTTTCTGATAATCTGTCTGTTGATTATACCATGGATTACTGGAGAAGGTTCATTACTTTTATATATATTTGTTAAAACTGAGAATAGATTGTTGCTAATGATTTATTACTTACAAAGTCCCCTTTTTCTTATTAAGTATTAAGTAGCTTATTTATACTTCACAGAGTGCAATGTGTGTTACCATTTGTGTGCCTATTATGGTCGGGGCAGATGCAAAATTGCTTATAATTTCAGGTCTAAGTCCATATAAACTTGTGTGGCTGATAGGTTTTTTTCCCCCAAGTTGTGGTAACGTTAACAGATAGCACCCAAGGGATTCGGCATGGTGGTGAATGATGTTGGCGTAAACCATGACATCCCATGTTCAAATCCCAATAGAAATTTAAAAAAAAGAATACTAGGTGATGTCCTTCAATTTGTCTATTCCATTTGTCTAAACTTCGGTGAGTAGAGTTACTCGATAGTTACTCGATACTTGTGCTGGTAGAAGATAGTATATACCTAGTCAAATAATTAAGGTGCACAAATAGTCCAAACTCCGCCATTATAAAAAGAAAGCATTCACAAATCAATATTACAAGGCGTTACTTCATATTCTTAAGTTGCTTGTAACAGTACCCTTAGTAAAAAGTCCACCTGAATTATAACCCATCTTCACCCAAAAAACAATTAGCTTTATTCCCAAATTGATGTTTCGAATTAACTCTACTTGCAAGACGATCTAGACCAACTCTGTGTTAACTCAAATCCATCACTAGAAATCAACAAAAAAATCAGGATTCCGCTTTCTTTTAAGTAGTTATCTCAATGAACGTGTTTTCTTAGTCCAGGATATCCAGATGCATATACAGATCAGAGTCTTGATGTTAGAAGAAAGATGAGTAAATTCTAATTATCTTTATGCCTACCACCTAAGTAAGTATGAGGAGTAAATTCTAATTATCTTTATGCCTACCACTTAAGTAGCTTTCTTTGAGGTCCTGCAGAGCATCCCTCAAAGAATGTTCATCCTGATCAGAAAATTTCAAGCACATCAGCCGTTGAGCCACTTGGTAAGTCAATTGTATGTCCTGATACTGTCTGTAATTCACCTCCATTCTCTTCATTTCCTATACGAAGGCGAAAAAAGGCCATCCAATCAACGCAAAATGGATGTGCAATTCTACATTTCTCAAAGCTTAGCAATTGAAAGCACAAACTGTAGTAAAGAAGCGTAAATGCATTGTAGATCTCACAGTCAGAAATATTTGACAATGCAAGGATGAGATAACCTCTGTGCCTATGTGAGTTTTACAAAGCATAGTCGGTCCCAAAATTGGATAAAGAAAGTAGGATTGTGATGCAGGTAGGGGTAAAGTCTACGTACACAAGGTAGGGGGGTAAGGTCTGAGTACACAATACCCTCCCCAGACCCCACTAGTGGAATTATATTGTTGTTGTAAGCTGCAAGATAGTTACTGTGCTTTCTACTTTCCTGTTTGAAGAACCATAAAATTTTTGAACACCTAATGGCAATTTCTCAGACAAGACATTGCTTGTTGAAGTTAAAACAAAATACCTTCTCCTTAATCCTAGATGTGATTCTTTTGGCAGTTTCTACTACTGAACTTGGTAGTCCAGCTACCCCTGCTAACATAAGGCCGTAATGTGGCACGTGACGCAGTCCATCCTTCAATAGAAACTAAGAAGGGAACACAAGAGGAAATAAGTAGTCAGGTATAAATTGGCTATAAACCATTGAATGATTCAGAGATATACCTTGAAGTCCATGCGGTTATTCCTCACATCAACATCAAAATGAAGAATTTTCACATTCGGATACATGGTGGCTAGCTCTGAAAGATTTTCCATATGAGTAGCAAATATTGAGTACCTGAAAGCAGCTTAAAAAGAATCACACTCTGGACAAGAAATCCACCTATTCACCTCTCTAACCGGGGAAAAAACAGAAAAATCTAAGTGCGCACTACAACCACTTCTGCGCCGCAGTCCCAAACAAGTTGGGCTCACCATATGAAAAGGTCTTATACGACTAAAGAGACGAAAAATGGAGGTATATACATGGGTTGGACTATGAATCTTGGCTGTATGTATTACATTGCAACTATAAAATACATTCAAACACCTCCAGCAGTTCTCTGCCAATTTGCTAGAACTATGAAAGTCTAAAATTTAACTCTGAGAAATAATGACATCTAGGAAATGACAAGATGAAGAATTTTATTAACAGTCTCCAGAAAACAAATGAAGAAATCTTTTAGGATAATATCTTCTCTATTAGGAACTTTAAACTAGTGACTCCGTAAGAAGCTCAGTGAGCAATCTTATGTGTGTCCTCAGATGAATGCTGAAGGCATTTACTTCTTACAAGAAAATGCAGTGACAACACGACTTCCACTCCTGTTTCACGGTCCAGTGCAGTACTTATTATTTAACTCCCACACTCAAATAACTAATGAAGAAAAATTTCAAGCATGATGTTCCCTTGGTATACTGCGGAAGTCTTTTGAAGGTTTACAACAATCTTGATTGGTTTCTAAATTTTTTGTTCCTTATTTGAATCCTGCTTCTTAGAAGAGCTCCAGAATTGGTAGTCTTCCTACAATTTATTGTATCCAGGTAAGAGCAGGAGTTTTAGCAGTTAACAAGTACCAAGATATTCCTTCAACTTATAAAGTGCAAAATTAAAGCCTAAATTTCAAACATTACCGCATACGATGTAAAATATAAGCTACCTGGCTAATCTTCTAGTTATAGGTTTTGCTTTGAAAATACTGCTTGGGCTAATAAATAATTAACCATATTTTCCTTTTAAGATTGAAATATAAAGAGAGCTTTGAGATTACGCTTTAAGTGCCAATAGCTGCTCACAACAGCTCCACGCGATTGCAAATCCATCAGAGGACGAAGTCGCTCTCCCCAATTCATCCATAACAATCAGACTTCTGTATTCAGCAAAGGAAGTTCAAATTTTTTAAACTTTACACAGACATATCTTCATGCCGATTCTGTGGAAACAGTTTGTGAAACGATCTACCTAGGGGAGACGTTTTGCATTATAAGAGCCGTCTCCTTCATCTCCGTCATGAACTGCACAAACCACAGTTACACGAAATACTGGTGATTTCTATATTGGCCATCTCCAGGAGAAGATGATTCAAGTATAAAGAGCAAACTTTGCAATTTGAAGAGGTCAAACTTCACCAGAAACTTATCAAAACTAACGCTAAGCTTTTTCAGAAGTTCAACTAACTATTGCATAAATATATGCACAAAATTTCTCTTCCAAAATATAGACCTTCCAGACCACAATATACCATTCAAAAGTAGAGGATATTACCGTGCTAGAGTTTGATTCGAGACTGTCCATTGTTCCCATCCTTGTAAAAATACGATCGACCACTCTCAAAGTGGCAAACCGAGCAGGAATATAGCAACCAACTTGAGCAAGGATGACAGTTAGACAAACTTGCTGAAGATAAGTACTTTTTCCACTCCTACAAAAAACAATAAATGGGAGTTATCGTAGAAAATGACAAAACCAAAAGCTAATGTAAAAACTGTCCCAAAGTACTTATTAGGAAATTTGATGCTATTAAGGAATACGGTTCCTTACATGTTTGGGCCCATTACAATAGCCATATTTGATGCTTCAGAAAGAAAGATACCATTTGGCTGAAAAAGAGAATTCGATCAGCACATCCATGTTCAGAAATTTCCAGTATCAAAGTAGAAAAGTCATTAACTTGCTGTGTGGAGAGAAATTTCAAACTTTTACAAAGATTTTTAGAAGAAACTAACATACAATGAAATCATTATTTATGCTTTCCAGAACGGGGTGCCGTCCAGAATCAATTGCCAATGGACCATCACCTATGAGGGAAGAAAAATTAAGTGATCAATTTATTCATATCTTGTCATCTAGTAAGTATAGGGAGTTGTGACTAAATACTCACATGTAAAATTAGGTCTAGTATATCTATCAACTGGTTTCGTTGATATCGTGTGAGCAAATGAATTCACCATCATGTCTAAAAGGCACAACACTTCTGAAAGAACGGTAAGCACAGAGACATCCTCTCGTATTGCATCCATTAATGCTGCATATTAGTATGAAATGGCAAGACTTTTAAGTAGGATGAGTTCTCAAATAACAACAGGGTAAGCAGAATGAAGGCATGGCACTTCCCTGAGTATGTATGTCAATACAGGTTAAAGATGCATTTTTTATGTGTTGATCAGAATTGTCAGATACGCAAGAAAACTCATATTAGTATTGAAGCACTAACCATGAGAAGGGGAGTAATCTTCCAAGAACAGGAAAAAAAGGAAGAGAACATTAACAAGAGCTGCTGTTCAATCTCATTCAGAGAAATCCCTATGATTCTAATCAACATGTCATTACTAGTGGATTTAGTGGTAAACCCAGTGTATGACTATCCAATTCATATTTTTCTAGCCAGAAGGAGCGCCACAATTGATAGTGGGCAAACATATACTATGTGCAAATGCGGAGATACTTAAGAACTGGTACTCTGTTGCTAAGCATCTGGCTACCCATATAATGAAGGGAAGAAGTCCATGTCTGGAGCTATGCTATTGTAGAATCATTAAGATGCATGGAAACTACTACTCAGATCTTTACCAGAGCCCAGGGCAGGTAATGAGAATTAAAAATATTATTGGAAGCTTTTATCAGAGATTTTGGCCTCTGCTAACATATATAAAAGCTCTCTTTAAAAAAGAAAGTGGAGTTGCAGAGTTGAATCCAAAAGCACTCTCCTGCCCCACGCATAAGCTACATGTATACAGTGATCTTGAAATAGTCTCTCATTGCAATCAAGCCTGATAGACCATCTAAGCTTTGCATCTCTTATGGGGTTTTGATGCAGAATGCAAGAGGAAAAAGATAAGATGTAAGATCATTCTTGCAATTTTACCAAAGGTCTAAAGATGTCATAATGATTTTTTATCTAAATTTATGTGTTAACATTAAGCTGATCTGCTGACAAATTTTTGGCTATATTATCATATTCTTGAGTCAAGGGCACTATACCAACACGGTATCTTGTACTGAATTCGCAGGAAATATATCCTACTATTCTCAGCATCTTTTCAGCAATTAAACAACGAAGGATCAGCCCCAAAGTTTCCACTCTTATTTCAAGTTCCCGGTCCACTAAATTGTGCTACATCAACTTTGTCCTCTAACATACGACTAAATCCACAAACTTAAGGATCAAAAATAGTCCCGATAGTTGCCTTAGTTCAAAATTCAAACACCAAAAGATTTTGCTGACATAAGATGAAAAACCCATAATATGTTCAAATCATTTCTTCTTGCCCCATGGAAGCTCCCCAAAAAATCAAAGCTTTATGAAGCAAATGCCTTAGTTATGAAGTAGCCGCTAATATTGCCATGCTGAAAAGACAAGCATTTGATTAGGTAGACAAGGGATTCAATGGCAAGCCATTAAAGGTTGTGCATTTCAACCATCAATTTACCGTCCAGGCAGAGTACAGTCCTCAACCAGCACTCTTTAGCTGCAGACTTGTTCCTGGCATTCAACTGTGAATAAAAGCAGTGAATGAAGAATAACCACCTCGTCTATGAGCAAAGTTAAGGATTATGAAATGGTACATTCTTTCACAAAAAGAGCGACTAGATTGATAATTCAACTGTATCCAAATAAAATAGTTCAAAAGGAATTTTGTCTGCTAGTTGATGGATATTCTAATATCAAAATTGATGCTTACATGTGAACAGAAGGGAAGAGTAATATTTGGATCAATGACAGAATCTCAAAAGTTTCAGTCACAGTCAGAACATACAGACACGAAGCTCTGTACAGATTAAGACAGAATGCCACAAATTTTGAGGTTAACCAATTCCTGAACAGCTTGCCTCTTTCATGTTTACATAGATCAGGGTGTAACTCAAAAGTGCCATCCCTATTCTCAACTAACTTGTTTACTATCTTCCGGGAAACACCACTACATCATGCAGTACTTCATGTCACAACAGGTTCTAGAAGTGCAAAGAAGTCCAACAGATTCAGAAGACCATCCAAAGGAAAGAATGACCGCATAGCGAACTCTATAAAGTTAAACACTATGGCTATGTTTGAGACGTTCGTCCTCCTCCTGAATATTTGCTCTTACTTTCTAGTTACTTTAATTGTCTTAGACTCTTAAAATGTATTTTACACCACATGAAAGAAAACAATTTACATATTTTCAGGAGTGTTAGTCATTCTCCACTACAGTTGTCTCTGTCCTTGCTTAACACTTGCTTTCACCAACCTATGCAACTATATCACCAGACAGTATTCCCACACTTACCTTTCACATTATTGCATATTGAAAACATTTCACGCTGATCCACTAAATGGTTTTATTCATAAATATTTGCAAGAACAAATCTTATGGAAAATGTTTTGCACCAAACCAAATGGAGCCTACAGAGGAAAGTAGCAATGCATGTCAGGTAATACTCACTGAAGCAAGTTCAAGACTGGAGCAATGGACATTGTTTCCATGTTTCATGACCTGATTAGTGTGAAAGTTGTTAGAGGAAAAGAAGCATGAATGCTTAAGAAGAGTTTAGTTTTTAACATAGCATGACAACCTGAATGAACTTGCTCGGCAGTTTTCCCTGTATGTCCTTCTGCGGAATGCTAAAGTAAAACCCTTTCCTGTTATTGAATGGGATCTTCAAGTTTGGCAGTCTGAAATCTTCACGATACTTATTTGCGAGGTCGTGTATAGCTACGAATTCAGTGTTTGTTAGAAACTAAGACAATAAACTTAGAAGGAAAACGAACATGTAATATGGCAGAAAAACCTTCGCTGGTATCACAAAATGATCTACGGGCCATATCAAGAAGCCCATCAACTCCAGCCTTAAGAGCAAAACACTGCTGTGTCCGTGCAACAAAAGGAACTCGTGTATGAAGGACATCTTCATCAATCACTTCTCCAATTCTGAGAAAACAAATATCACATGGTTAAAATAAACATATGAATTGCAGTGTTCATCGAATATCCTAAATCATATTAGAACTGCAAATCAGTTACACGGATTGATAGATGCAGAGGAATAATTAGCTCATGGACGTTACACAAAATTAAGGAGGAACAGGAATCCTCTCTTTCGGAAAAACAAGAATGGAAAAAGAAGAAAGTCCTCCTAGAGGGGATTGAGGTGGAGAAGATTCAAGATACATTAACAATGAAAAAATGGAACTGTCTGAATTCTGAAGAGGGCCTCACCAACATGGAGGGGGATTGGAGGAAAGAGTCAGGTATCTAAGCAAATATGAATGTTACCTGTTCCTGATTGAAGTATATTTTTCATTCTCGCATATGGACTTGTAAACATTTCCAAGCAGACAACTCTTGGCTTCTTTAAGCACCTGAATCACAAGCTCATCATTGTACCATATAAGATACAGAAAAGTGAACGCCTGCCCCCAATAATGATGCTGCACCTGGGAGAGTAACGGTAAAGCATCAAGAGCAGTTTTGAGAAGAATAATGCTGGATATCATAATTTGGTTCCTCCTTCCGTTATCCGAAGCCAAGACTTCATTAGTAACTCTCTTTGGCTTGAAGCAGAAGTGACAAAGGACCCTATCTAGATGGAGAAACATAGGTCAACTTTCTGAAATGGGACAAGCCATATAGAATACAAGAGAGAATCAACTCTCCTTTCTATTATGTGGTTACCTGTTTCTTTCGGAAACTTACGAAGGGCCTGAGACAAGCCAAAGAATAGCTGCTCATTGCTCATCAACTCATCCTGGATATAAAATGAGAAAAGTGTCACAGGTTTTGACTGGACCACATTACATCCTGAAAGGCACGGCATAAACTACAAGATAATAACACCCAAAAAGCAGCTGCAGGCTGGTTAAATGTTATTGCAACCAAAACTCAATCAAGTAAAGACCAGTGTGATCGCATAATCTGGTAGCTGTAATCAAACAGCATATTCCCCTCAGTCTTAAAAACTTTAATTTTTCTGTGGAACACCTCAGTTCAGCTAGTAGTTCAGAGAACCCTCAATCTCCTCCTTCCTGTTTCGATCACCCAAAGCAACACTAACATTTAAAAAACAAGGCCTTTTCCTGAGAAGACTTGCTCTCAATAAAATAGATCTTCTAGAGGAGATACAACCACAATAGAGAATTTCTTAACGCAGAAAATTTCTAAACGAAAGTAGAAAATAACATGAAAATTTTCTGGAGGGATGGTAGCAAAATCTGATTTTATAGTTAGCAGACCATGTTATATATTCTTCTGTCTCACGCAATACGTTGAAAACCTACCAGGCAATCGAGTCGAGTGTTAATTGTCTCTATGTCTTTCAGAGGCTGCAAAAGATTTGCCCTCAGAAGTCTAGTCCTGCAGTGGAGTATGATCAAGCAAACACAGATTTATGTTGCAGGTGCGCAGCATACTGAAATAGACAGATTACAGAAGTTTCCATCCTGCGCAGAACTTTAACATAAGAACTATGAAGTTGCCTCAAGTGTGGGCTTAGTATGTACGTTTATCATTCTTGTATTCACAAAGTGGCAAAAGGCATTAAGCACAAAACTGACTGTCTTTTCATTTACAATGCTGTGCTCCATATAGCAGGTTAACATTGTTGACAGTCTCCAAATATATATATGCAGACATTTATAAATTACTATATGATTGCCAGTAATTTAGGGTCTTTGTAATACAAAGCCAAGCTAAACCCTACACCATTCACAGTTCTGTATATTCGATAACACAATCTAGGTGTAGAAATTAAAAAGTAATGTCTATCACACAACCTTATTATAATATTATGTGAAACAAGAGGCACACTGAATAGAATTGCACAAAGACATTTATAACCATGAACTGACAGATTATTACCAGCTTATCAATGCAATTATTTCCATACCCGCCAATAGTTCGAGTTGTTTTAAGCATGTGGAATAAACTTCTCTTTTTGTTGTTTGTGCCCAAAAGAGAAGAGTGCATAGGCTCAATTATCTCCAAGTTCTGAACACTGCCATCAAAGACGAAGTATAAAATTTACATCATCTACAAAGTCTTACAATAAATTCTAACTTTCCTAAACACAATCATTTGGGATAATAGAAAGTGTTATGCGATGTTATCAGCTGAAATGGAACTCAGTAGCCAGTATGACTAGTAAGTGATAGATCCAAGCTGATATGCAACATCCACTAATTTGGTATGAGGAAGCTACCTGGTGGCATCAATGTTCATGTGGTCAAAAGATCCATTGAAGGTAACCTGTGGAAAGAGAAGACAACTTGGAATCTCGAATGCTCCTTTTAACTACTCAAAGTTCCATGAAATTCTAAGATATGCTACATCCACCGTAACGGCACATTTATATGTATTTTTAACATTTCTGTTTCTTGATCACAAAATGAGAAATCTCTCTTCCAAAGGAGATTCAAAGAAATAGTGCATATGACCCTTTAAAGGACACCAGTGAACAATATACTCAATATCCTAACCTTCAAATAGTTGAAATTCATGCCACTTCAGTTTTTGCTAAGAAATAGGAAAAGCTAAGGTAACTCACCAACCCCTCACCCGCCAAATATTGAAATGAATAGAGAAAGAAAGTTTTCATCATTGCAATGTTCTAGTTCTATATACCAAAGCTGGACATAGTAAGTATCAATTAACACAAATATGTTACTTTAAGACCTACTAGGACAAATTGTTCTAGCGAATAGTATGCGAAAACATGACATGAGACATTCTTCTTTCTTGGTAATATTTATTGGCGTTGTGCAACTACAATAATCACAAACAAATCACTGAATATTGGTGAACAGGGACTAGTTCATACTTCTTTCACTTTAAATTACACTTTAATCTGGCGCAATGTGATGGACATAATAATAAAAATAATAGTTGCACTATGTGAAACCATTTTGCCTGGCAAAATCATGCTTGCAATAGATAGGTTCAATAAGTTGAAGTGTTTTCTGCTTGCTTTCACTCATGTTTGGCTCTTTTATGCATGAGAAGTCGCACATACCAGCAAAGAGTGATTTATCACAACAACACCTTTCTCAGCTTCAATCCTGCACACGATGTTCTTGCATATCATATCTGAAAATAATCAAGTGAAACAAGAGGCAGTTTTCCTCTAAATTACTAGCATCTTTAATATGCTGAAAAATAATCTTTTTTGGATTCACATATTGGTAATATGTGAACAAATTCTTGGTTACACATCCTGCCAAGCATCGAATGTGTTTTATTTTTTCATAAAAGCTAATAAATGACAGTCTTCACATACTCAAGGTAGTCGGTATTCAACAAAGTAACATATTAATTTGACGAAATTCGGATGTTTAAAGGTGGCTTATCATTTGAGGAACACAGTTTAATGAAATGCAGTAACAAGTATTTCCATTGGGCTAAGGATGAAATCTCAAAGTCTCATGTCGATAGTGCAACACCACAATGTTACTCATTGGTGGAGAGTATTTTTAGCTCCCTCTTAAGTGATATGAGGGCATATCTGTTGACTTGGGCTAGCTCTTTTACACTCTAGAAAGTAACACATAACTTAGACCTATACTAACTATGACATTCATGAGCTCACTGGATCAAATTGCAAACTGTGTATCAGAAAAGAGCATTGATGACACTCTTAGAGCAAATAAGCCTATTTGAGTGTTGCCTAGCGGATATGGATATTAATGCTGTTGCTAACTGTTCTACGGACTGCATCACGACTCTCAAGAATTGACCAAAGAACTTGAAGTTATCATTCTACATGCAAGAAGTGCAGATGAAATATTTCAATACCATGTCCATTAAATTGAAAGTCACCATAGCATCATACCACTTGATAGTTGCCGCTGCTGCAGCCAGACACAAATAATATTGCTTGTAGTATGAGTCCAAACCAAGAGCAGACGGTTCCTTAGCAGCTAATCCTTTAACCAATACAGCTCCCTTCATACCATATTAAAGTATGAAGTAGTGTCAGTGCTAATTAATGGAGAAGCAGCAGAGTCAATAACGCATAGTTTCAGAACTACCCTGGTATCATCAAAGCAACCACGATTCATTATAACCTGTGTACATCAACATAAGCATAAGTCCTAAGCTTTTAAGAATTAGAAATTACGCATTTTATCGAAATAGAGCCACCAATATGTTTAGAGGCAACACCTTTCTTGTGGAGGAACAAAATCCATCAGCTAGCTGTGAGACTCCAACCATTCCATCTGCTGCCAGTTTATTTGGGGGAACAATGATCGCCAGAGGTTCATAGAACTGTAGTAAAGTCTTTGTATTTTGATAGGAGCTGCTAGTCTCTATATACTGAGAAAGATGCAGTGAAGCTGATCTCAAGTCAAATGCAGCTACTCCAACCTGCCGATAAAATTGCTATGGCCAGTTAGGGTGTGAAGCTTCAGCAAACCACGGCTTTTTCTATTTTATTTCTGATTTAATACTTAAAAAGTCATTATAACGTGTACAAGTAATACTCAATCCTAAGAAGTTATATTAAATTAACAAACTTCACCAGAATTTATGAGTTACTTGGAAATTCAACTGTTAACTCTCCACTTTTACATAATACTGAATTGATATCTCAAAGACACTTGCATCCAGGGAACCGTAGGCGCAGATTCTTTCTTTAAATGCAATCGACCGGAATAATTATTGGATTCTTCTTTTAAAAAGAGAAAAGAAAATGCTAACTCCATTTAAGTCATCAAGAAGAAAAGTAAAATGCAGCGTCAGCCGGAGAAGCACCATAGGCTTCTTTAGCTGGTTCCTTTCTCAATCACTTAAGCCGTAAAGTTCTCAGGAACTACATTAAGTGGTCCATATTTTCAACCTGATAAAATGGACCTTGGGCCTAACTCAACTCCAAAAGCTAGCTTATGAGGTGATGATTGTCCAAGACCATATAAAGAGACCAGGACACCCATTACCCACCGATGTGGACACTACTCAACACCCTCCCCTCACACCGAGGCCTGCAAACTGGAGCGAGAACAACATAAATGGGGGTCCAACATCGGTAACAATAAATTGGGATGGGTCTGGCTCTGATACCATGATAAAATGGACCTTTGGGCCTAACTCAACCCCAAAAGCTAGCTTATGAGGTGAGGATTGTCCAAGACCATATAAGGAGACCAAGACACTCATTACCCACCGATGTGAGACACAACTCAACACAACTAAAGTTAGAAAATATACAGTGAATTTCAAATTATATATCCACAATCTCATACATACATTTGAAATTAAGCATAATACAATATCTTCTACGAATTTGGTAAGCTCGAAGCTATCCTAAAACTTGTAAGTTTTAATTACCTGCTTAGCTTTGTCATAAATCTGGATTACCTCAACACATCAATAAATTTCAGATATAAAACATCTAACATATTCTCTGACAATACGTGTAAAATTAAGCATAATACAATCTCTTCATTTAACTTAGCAAAACTCGAAGCTATCGTCAAACACATGCATCATATTTATCCATTTCTCAAATTTCTCAAACTAGTAAGCTGTCACATATTTATAACATGATATAAGCACTTTTAAAGTCAAATTGCACCTATTAATTCAAAAACAGAGTTCGAATTTGCTCGTCATACATCGGAAAATAGCATCTATTTATTCAGTAGAAGTTTAAACTTGCTCAAAATACACCTATTATTCAAAACAAAAAAAAAAAATCAAATTCGCTCGTCAGTTTCCAAAATCGCACCTATATATTCAAAAAAATATATATCGATTCCGCTCGTTACGCAGGGAAATTGCGCCTATTATTCAAAAAAAAGTTCAAATTTGCTCGTTACGTCGCGAAAATGCACCTTTTGCTCGAAAAAGAAAATGTTTATATTCGTTCGTTATACATCGCCGAACTTGTGTCTATTTTTCCAAAATGAAGTTTAAAATTCAAATATGCTTGTTATACATCGCCGTAATTGTATCTATTTGTTCAAATGTAGTTCAAATTTTGCTTGTTATACATATCGAAATTGTATCTAAAAGGCGAAGTCGCATCTATTTATTCAAATGAAAGTTCAAATTTGCACATTCGATATACCTAGAAATATACTCTGTTTAAAATACGAATGGAGAGAAAGAGAGAGAGAGAGAGAACCTCCTTGGCGCGATTCTCGATGAGGCCGATGACGAAGCTTGATCGTTCTCCGGTATCGTCTTCCATTTGAACTATAAGCACTCTCAGCTGAGAAGTGTGAGCAGTGATTAAAAAAAGAATTGAGTTTTCAATTCGCGCCAAAGGTATATATAGGGGTGAATCTCATAGTGTTGTGACTCGGACTGGTATTTTAAGTGGGCGTTCGGACATAAAAATTGTAAAATTTTAAAAAAGCGAAAAAAAAATTCAAGCGAAAATGGTATTTGAAAACTAGAGTTTTATTTGGACATGAATATAATTTTGGGTTATTTTTAAAGTTTTGTAAGTGATCTGAGTGAAATTTTTGAAAAATAATTTTTTGGAGTTTTTAAATTTTCGAAAAATTTTAAAATTTATTTTCAAGTGAAAATTGAAAATTTTATGGCCAAACACTTATTTCGAAAAGAAGTAAAATATTTCTAAAAAAAGTAAAAAAATTCTTATGTCCAAACGGACTCTAATAGCCTGTTTGACCAAGCTCTTTTTTGGGGCCAAAGGTGCTTTTTTTGGCCAAAAGCACTTTTGGCCAAAAATTGAGGTGTTTGGCCAAGCTTTTGGAAGGAAAAAAAATGCTTTTGAGGAGAAGCAGAAGCAGTTTTGGAGAAGCAGAAAAAAGTAGCTTCTCTCCAAAAGCACTTTTCTGAGAAGTACTTTTGAGAAAAATACACTTAAAAGCAGTTTTCAAAAACTTGGCCAAACACTAATTATTGCTCAAAAGTGCTTTTCAAATTAATTAGCCAAACACAAACTGCTTCTCACCAAAGCACTTTTTTAAAAAGTACTTTTGAGAAAGCACTTCTCAAAATAAGCTGATTTTAGAAGCTTGGTCAAACGGGCTATTACATTCGAAGTGTAAAGATAACTTTGCATTATAAGTATTTTCAGGTTATTATCATTTTTATAAAATAACTGATTAATTATTAATAAAAAATTATATTTAATTACCTAATAAGTTACATATATACAAAAGAACTAATCCCATTAGTAATTACTCCAAGTAACATGCTATGGTTATTACGGTGAAAATGATACTGTCTAACTTGTGATACTGCAACTTGAATTATGTCCTTTTCACCACTAAAATATTCTTTTAACATGACTTTTGGCCTACCACTTGGCAATCAAAACATTGATTTAATCATTTAGTATCATACCTATCCATAAGTATTTTTAAAAGAAAAAAGCTTAATAGGATAAATTTTTACAATGTTATTATGTAAAATTTAAATTATATATACTTAAAAAAAAAATTGTGCATACAATGCCATGCTCTCGTTGCCCGTCTGAGACGAGGTGCGTCACGCCATTTTAAAATGACACATTATTGACCCAATTATACCAAACATAATTTTTATTACTACGAAAGGCAGACACACGATGTTAATTAACTTATCACGTTTTCTTATTTTCTTTAACAAAAGTAAAAAGAAAAACTTCAAATTTTGCTTATGTACTAATTGAAATTACTCAATTTTATTATACGATACACTTTGGGTTCATTTTATGTCCTTATTGTTAACCTTGGCCCCTTGTTATTAATAGAGTTCCAACATAAAATGAACGGACACGAGTCCGAATTCTTCGAGGGAAAAAAATCAATTTTACCTATCAACTTTTGGTTATGACTTAAAGTTAACCCAGGTTGGAGATCTGTTATGGATCAAGGGAAAGGGTGAGGGAGTTTTTCCTACATATACTATGATAGGAACTTATTAATTTATTTTCTCTAGGTTTTGTAGTTTTCAAAAAGTATTTAGGTTTTTCTTACAAATTATATATATTCCTCCCTTAAAAATTTCTCATCTCATTATTAGTGCCTTTAATTAAGGGATTCAATTATATACTTTCCTCTTTTTTTCACACTTCTCCTCATTTCATGCTTCATAATTTTTTCAATACGCAGATCTCCTCTTCTCTCTCTCTCTTCAATAGTTGCACGTCTTCAGCAAGAAGCTACTAACCTTGCTTCAGTTGTTTAATAGGATAATAGCTCATAACTTACAATTGCTCGTCAACATATACAATTATCATACATTTGTGATACAATTTTCACAACAATTATAATACAAATACAATTATGATACAATCGTGATAAAATTCTAATTTTCCTCATCTTCTTCAAGTTTCAATCACAACTCTAAACATAAATTCTGAAACAATATTGTATTATAATTGTATTAGGTATTATTTTAGGTATTGATATATCAGATACAAATCAAATACAACTTTGATACAATTGTGATACAATTATGAAACAAATATGATACAACTATAATACAATCGTGATACAATTCAGAAACTTTTCTTCTTCGAGTTTCAATATGAAATTTTACCTAAAAACAACTCTAAACTTAACCAATCTCCCTCAAAATTGAGATATAAACTCCAAGTTATATTCTCAATTGTTTGCAAGAGCACGATTTTGGGTGGGTCTCTTACGGTGAAGGGATTTGGTAATTGCAAACAGAGGTGATGATTTTTGGGTGGGTCTCTTACGGTGAAGGGATTTGGTAATTGCAAAGAGAGGTGGTGATTTTGGGGTGGGTTTCTTACGGTGAAAGTATTTTGGGTAAGTATTGATTTTGGGTATCTTAAATGTAGGATATTTTGTGTAACTGATACCCACTATTTAAGGTATATCTCATTTCCTCTTTTTTTAAGGTTTTGTATAATACTAGTAAATATAGGTATATAAAGTAATTAATAAGGAACCTAAATAAAAGTAGTAAATAAGTTTCTATAATAGTATAGCTAGGTAAAAATTCCATAATTGTAAATAAAGTGAAAGAGTGAGCTTCTCCAAATCCATATGGGACAACTCCCTTTTGATAAATACCAACATTACACTATCGTGTGTCACATTATTTGTTGTCAAAGTGGCATTTCTAAGTTCTAACTCCGGATCCACAAATAATAAATTTAGTTACTATCATAGGTGTCTTATTGTTATATTCATTCTGAGGTTTTTTTACAATTACAAAAAAATTCTACTGATATTTTCAACGGTCTCAGTCTTATATGTTTAATGAAGTACCCAGAAATAGGGGTTCAGACTTATAAGATTTTGCAAGTCAGAGTTTTATGGAGCAAAGATTGGCAGTAAACCACAGAATGGTCAAAGGTCAATGCTTTGACCATTTTTCTCATTTATACACCGTGTGTTTTTTGGACCTTAGGCCATTTTATTGGACGGAAGCTCTCCTTTTTCGTATGAGTTTAGTCTTACGCTATTAGGTCATTTAATAAATAATTACATGTGCTATTTACTGTAATTATATTTTCGAAAGGTAATTATTCATAGAAGTACAAAATATTTAGTAACCTAAAAGATAAGACAAGTAATATTCTAGAGCATTTTAAATAATACTGGCAATGTTAATTTTCATGGCAATGTCAGTAAATACAACTTAAATCCTTTTAGAATATATTGCTACTACTACTTTTTTTGCCTTGTGTGGCAAAGACATATTATTGCGCCCACACTCTAAAATGGAAATACCTTTCCAGTTATGATAGGCTACATACGTCAAATTCAAACCCCATTCTTCCAAAGTATTTGAACTTTCAAAAATATCACATCCCAATTCCTTATTTGTTAAGGACATACCCTCCCCCCCCCCCCGACCCACCCACCGCCACCACACACAACTACAGTTCTAAGAAGTGCAAAGAAGTCCAACAGATTCAGAAGACCACCAAAGGAAAGAATGACCGCATAGCGAACTCTATAAAGTTAAAAACTATGGCATGTTTGAGACGTTCGTCCTCCTCCTGAATATTTGCTCTCTTCTAGTTACTTTAATTGTCTTAGACTCTTAAAATGTATTTTACACCACATGAAAGAAAACAATTTACATATTTTCAGGAGTGTTAGTTCATTCTCCACTACAGATTGTCTCTGTCCTTGCTTAACACTTGCTTTCACCAACCTATGCAACTATATCACCAGACAGTATTCCCACACTTACCTTTCACATTATTGCATATTTGAAAACATTTCACGCTGATCCACTAAATGGTTTTATTTCATAATATTTGCAAGAACAAATCTTATGGAAAATGTTTTTGCACCAACAAATGGAGCCTACAGAGGAAAGTAGCAATGCATGTCAGGTAATACTCACTGAAGCAGTTCAAAGGCTGGAGCAATGGGACATTGTTTTCCATGTTTCATGACCTGATTAGTGTGAAAGTTTTAGAGGAAAAGAAGCATGAATGCTTAAGAAGAGTTTAGTTTTTAACATAGCATGACAACCTGAATGAACTTGCTCGGCAGTTTTCCCTGTATGTCTTCTGCGGAATGCTAAAGTAAAACCCTTTCCTGTTATTGAAATGGGATCTTCAAGTTTGGCAGTCTGAATCTTCACGATACTTATTTGCGAGGTCGTGTATAGCTACGAATTCAGTGTTTGTTAGAACTAAGACAATAAACTTAGAAGGAAACGAAACATGTAATATGGCAGAAAAACCTTCGCTGGTATCCACAAATATCTACGGGCCATATCAAGAAGCCCCAATCACTCAGCCTTAGAGCAAAACACTGCTGTGTCCGTCAACAAAAAGGAACTCGTGTATGAAGGAACATCTTCATCAATCACTTCTTCCAATTCTGAGAAAAACAAATATCACATGGTTAAAATAAACATTGAATGCAGTGGTTATCGAATATCCTAAATCATATTAGAACTGCAAATCAGTTACACGGATTGATAGATGCAGAGGAATAATTAGCTCATGGACGTTACACAAAATTAAGGAGGAAAGGAATCCTCTCTTCGGAAAAACAAGAATGGAAAAAGAAGAAAGTCCTCCTAGAGGGGATTGAGGTGGAGAAGATTTCAAGATACATTAACAATGAAAAAAATGGAACTGTCTGAAATTCTGAAGAGGGCCTCACCAACATGGAGGGGGATTGGAGGAAAGAGTCAGGTATCTAAGCAAATATAATGTTACCTGTTCCTGATTGAAGTATATTTTTCATTTCTCGCATATGGACTTGTAAACATTTCCAAAGCAGACAACTCTTGCTTTCTTTAAGCACCTGAATCACAAAGCTCA